CAACTGGTCCATCAGGTTCAATAACCTGTTCCTCAGATTCCACAACTGGTTCCTCAGGAGTGGTTGTACTATGATCTTCAATTCTTGTTGTCTTGGTCTCAACTCTGGGAAGACTTATGTASCTAGTCTTCTCTTCTRTACTTTCATCTGACTCTGACTTTTCAAGTTTATCATTTGCTCTGTCCTTGTACAGAACATCCTCATTGAAGATCACGTTCTTGCTTCTAATAATTTTCTTGTTTTGGTAATCCCAAAACCTATAGCCCATCTCAGCTCCGCCATAACTAAGAAAATAACACTTCTTGGATTTAGCATCCAGTTTACTCCTGTCTGCAGCATCAATGTGAAGGTAAGATACACAACCAAAAACCTTTAAATGAGAAAGGTTTAGCTGTTTACCGCTCCAAACTTCTTCAGGCAATTTGAAGTCTAGTTATGTGGTCGGACTCCAATTGATCAGACAGGTCGCAGTGTTGATTGCCTCTACCCAGAACATCTTAGGCAATCCCGCATGTAATCTCATGCTCCTGGCACGCTCATTCAACGTCCTGTTCATTCTCTCTGCCACACCGTTCTACTGTGGTGTCCCTGGAATAGTCTTTACCATCACAATTCCACTGTCTGCACAATACTTTTTAAATTCCCCATCAACATACTCACCACCATTGTCTGACCTCAAGCTTTTAATTTTTAGACCTGTCTCATTCTCAACCATAGCCTTCCAAGTTTTGAAAACAGAAAATACATCAGACTTATGTTTGAGAAAATAAGTCCATACCTTCCTGCTTGAGTCATCTATAAAGGTCACATAGTATCTGGAACCTCCGAGAGAAGAAACTTCAGAAGGCCCCCACACATCAGTGTGAACCAGCTCCAATTTCGTAGGTTTTGGCGCTGCACCTGTTTTTGAGAAACTGACACGCTTCTGCTTCTCAAATACACAACCTTCACATAGCTTGTGGTCAACTGCCTTAAGTCCCTGTAACTTCCCTGTAGAGTGAAGAATTTTCATACCTTTTTCACTCATATGTCCCAGTTTGTTATGCCATAATTGAGTATAGCTCGAATGATCTACAACAGCCACCATGTCTTTATCATTGTTGTTGACATACAAAGTTCCTGACTTGCTTCCTCGAGCAATCACCATGGCACCCTTTGTAACTTTCCAGTTTCATTGACCAAAGGATATTTCACATCCTTCATTATCCAACTGCCCCACAGAAATCAAGTTTTTCATCATATTCTGAACGTGACGTACCTTGCGAATTTTCCAAAATGAACCATTCGCCATTTTTAAATTCACGTCACCGATACCAATGATATCCAAAGGCTCTCCATCGGCAAGATARACCTTTCCATGATTTCCTGCAATATAATTTTCAAGAATGTCACGTTGTCCTGTAGTATGAAAAGACGCACCTGAATCCATCACCCATGTGTCATGAGCACTCTCAACTRCAAGAACCAGAGCATCATGTATCTSCTCAGCAACATTGGCACCGRCGTCGTTCCCATCATTTTTCTTTGGGGCCTTGCAATTCCTCTTCAAGTGTCCAGTCTTACCACAATTCCAACACTCAAACCTGCTGTTTTTCGACSTGCTTCTGTWGTTTTTCGACTTGCCTCGATTCCMATAACCTCTGTTATTATTTCTTCCTCTGTCCACATTCAAAACTGAACCAGAAGTAGAAGCGATACCAGWGTCCTTCCTGYGAATTTCTTCTGCAARAGCTGCATCTCTAACATMTTCAAATTTCAATTTCTCTTTCCCACAAGAATTCKAAATAGCAGCTCGCATGGGTTCCCAACTATCAGGCAAAGATCTTAATAACAAAATAGCATAAACTTCATCACTGAATTCTAAATCAACAGCTACCAGTTTRTTAATCAATGCATCAAACTCATTTAAATGGGYAGTAATAGGTGTACCYTCARCCATTTTCAAATTAAAAAATTTAGTTGCAAGATACACCTTATTATTTACCGAGGGTTTTTCATACATGTTGGYCAGGGCATTCATCAACCYCATTGTGGTCGTTTCCTTTGCCACGCTGCTCTGAAMATTTTTAGTTAATGTCAGACGAATCGTACCCAACACTTTCCTGTCCAACTTCTTCCATTCTTTTTCTCCCATATCATCCGGCTTTCCTTCTAATGGCAATTCCAACTCTTTCGAGTGCAAATAATCTAATACCTGATTTTTCCAAAACGAAAAATCCGATCCATTAAAAGTGACCAATTTGTCGTCCCCTGCCATTGTTCTTCAACCTCGCTCTGATACCACTTGATAGGAATAAAACAAGCTAACAAATATTATCTCAATCACAATTCCAGACAATATATGCTAACTAATCCCAGATCAGGTTCCGGTTCCAATTATAACAGAAATAAATCAAATCAGAACTATGCTCAAAGAGTAGATAAATCAACCTAAACCTCAAGCAACAAGAACAATAAAATATAGGGAAGAGAAATCGACACCGAATTTATACTGGTTCACCCAATGTGGGATACGTCCAGTTCTATGCTACCGTTGCAGGTTCCACTAAATGTCAGGAGAATCTTCAAGAGTTTACAACGCTCTATAATGATTTCTCTCACTTTTCTCTCAAAGAAAAATGCTCACGAATCACTCTTATAAGCTTCTAANTAAATCAAATCAGAACTATGCTCAAAGAGTAGATAAATCAACCTAAACCTCAAGCAACAAGAACAATAAAATATAGGGAAGAGAAATCGACACCGGATTTATACTGGTTCGCCCAATGTGGGCTACGTCCAGTTCTCTGCTACCGTTGCAGGTTCCACTAAATGTCAGGAGAATCTTCAAGAGTTTACAACGTTCTACAATGATTTCTCTCACTTTTCTCTCAAAGAAAAATGCTCACGAATCACTCTTATAAGCTTCTAAAATTCTTCAATGGAAACAAAAACTTACAGAGTCACGTTTTTCTTCTCCGTGAAGCCTCACGAAGAAACTCTCGCCAAACCCTCTCTCTCTGTAAATTTCTCTCACTTGATTCTCCCTCTAGGGGTTGCTAAAATCGTGGGCGGCATACACTTACTTTTTGACAAAAGAAAATTGCCAATTTAATGAAGAAGAAATAATGTAATGGGCCTTTTTTTTTTATTTAAGCCCATTAAGCCACCTTCATTCTTTCTTTTAATTTGGCTCCATTCTCAACAGATAAGTCCTACCGTCCAGCCCTATCGTCATCATGGAAAGGATAAATCTGTCTAAGGTGGGTATAGATATCAAAAGAGCTCATATTAGAAACTTTTCTTGTAGTTCCGTTGCTCTTCCTTCTGTGGCGTTTTCTGCTACGTGCAGAAATTTTCATTCTGAGTTGCTATACAGTCGTAGATTTCGGTTAATGTTAAATTTGTTTATAGTTGAGCAAGTTCTGTAAATCTCGGCGTGGATTATCTCGTAACAGTAAAACTTGGGCATTTGATGAATGATAAAATGCCCCATCTGGGTAGTGGAAGAAACAACAATTTGGGAATAAAATGCCCGAGGTTGAGATTGTTGTCTATAATAAGATTGAAAACAGTTTCTGTTAGGTCAGCTCTAAACAATGTAGTGACATTTTTTAGGAAGAATGTTAGGAAGGTGACCTTTTCTGCTTCAGTTTCCATTGTTTTGGGGCTATGCTATTTTTTCCTGAAAATAACAGCAGTTCCCACCACCTAAAAGCGTTCCATATTCAGGTTTCATTTCAAGCCTTCAGAATGGAACTGTCACCAAAGTTGATCTAGAAGTCACAATGAAGAGGCGAGCGAGTTGAATTCCTTCTACCTTAGTTTCAATTCTGACAATGATTAGAGCGGTGACAGATCCAGAATTTGATGTCGGGGGCATAAATGTATACAAATATAATGGGAAATTATCAAGTTTATGTCTGTACCTGGCAATGTATATCAATTTACTATCTTACAATTGGATAAGTATGTATATCAATTTACTATCTTACAATTGGATAAGTATGTAATTTTCATCTGAGTCACAAATTTATATATTTTCATTTGAAATTTTTGTGAAAAAAATATTATCATAAATGAGTTAGAAAATATATTTTTATATGAAAAAGTAATAGAATTTAGACTAAAATGACATTAGAGTTAGTTGTTTTGGCTTAACTGTGTAAGTTTTGGCATAATTTTTTAACTATTGATTTTGTGCCTTGTAATCAAATTTAATTTGAGAAACTTGATTTTTTGAAATGAGTGAGTTTTTTTAATCTTTTTTTAATTAATAAGTGAATTAGCATGAATTGAATAGATAGATAAAAATTATGACATTTATGTAAGTTTTGGGTTATGAATTTAAATTTATTAAGAGAATATGTTCTATATAACCTTAATTAGACATATTTTGTAAAAAGAAAAAAATTTAATTGGACATAAAAGTTAAATTTCTCCTTTGAAATAATTAAAAAAAAGATATATTTTTTAAATATATTTGAAAAACCAAAATAAAGATTACCATACAATATATTAAAAAATAGACGCAGGGCCGCGAGGTATGAAAAAAATATATTTGAAAAAATCTGTAAAGATGAGATTCAATCACAAGATCATGAAGAAGCCACCCAACCAATGACCATTTTATTTCTAAAACTGTATACTATATTATATTTAATCTAAACTCCACGGCACGTGCCCTTCTAGTCCCTATGCAAATCCACCTTTGGTTAGAAGCAATAGAGGTGATAGCGCACAACAACCACGAGAGAGGAGGAGAATGACGCTGGTCACCATTGTTTGAGTTAAAATGGAGATTTTCAATCTTTGTTATACACACATCTTTTCTCCGCTCTACTTTGATCTCCCTTACAAAATTTTATTCGTTGGACTCTCCCACTCTTATTTATTCTTCCTCTCTTTTCCTCCATTTTTCCTATTTATCTCTTATTAATAAATATTAGTTTTTTTAAACCCGATCGACTAAACTGATAGTAGTTAGTGACCTTTGTACAAAATAAAAAAATAATTCTGATCGACTCAAACTAAATGGTCAGTTGTCCTATTGATTTTACTGACCGACTGATGTGCAGCCCTACCTAGGTCATGGATGAATAAACGCATTCTAGAAAAAAAAAATACATATTTATGAAGTTACGAACTCATTGCTTTTTACACATGGGCCGAAATATCCCTCAAGGCCCAAATTGGTGACAAACCGAGTCCACTCACCTTGTCAATTCGGACGACTCGCGTATCAGATTCTCCAATCTCCATTACTCTTCCCAGAAGGAGAAAACCTTTCGAGTTCGAGTCATGTTCCACTGAGCGCCTGTCGGGTTCCTGCCATCTCAATTCCAACTTCTTTTGATCGAAAATCCATCGTCAATTCGCAGCCAAGATTGCCGGAGTTCGTCTCTTGAATGGATTTCTCCGAGCAAGATGTAGATATATTCGGCGAAGAGCTCGAGAATGCAGACAACAACGACAACGACCATCATGACCGAGATGCTGCCCGCTCGTCATCGCAATCTTCGTCGTCCTCCTCTTCTTCATCGTCTTCGGATTCTTCGTCGTCCAACGCGAGCGATGGAGGCGAGAGCAGTAGTGGAGGCAGTGGGAGTGCGAGTAGTGCTGGAGAAGAAGACGACGAAAATGGTGAAGAAGTGCAGTACAATCCTCGGTACGAGGATAGAGATCTATTTGGTTCTGATAACGAGGATTATTGTAAAACACTTGCTGTTAGTCCTTATCCAGTTCCAGGTAATTTTAGTCGTGGTTGTTACTTAATTTGCGTACATTCTTGAAAACACCACTATTTGGTGTGTTCCGCTTATGTTTTCTGGATGTGAGACTGTTTTTTCTTCTTCTTAGTTTGTTTCCGTTTATGCCACTGTTTAAACTGGGCTTCTGAATCTTTGGAGGGAGTGATTGAAGTTTTTTCTTTGTAGTCTAATTATGTTTAATGTTTTCCTTTTCCTGAAGTCTTTAGTTTAAATTGCTTGAAAGAGTTTGAAAATTGGAATGGTTTTGCATTTTTCGGTTCAGTCGGCAGGAAGTATGTTCTAGAATGAACTAATTGTCTGAACTGGAATGAAACTAGCACCTATGATTTGAATGTCATACGGACAGCAGAGAATCGTCACTTTCTGTAAAATTTTGTAGGCTGCCATTGAAAATCCGAACTTCAAATGAGTTATAAATGATCCAAGTTGGAAACTTTTGGGGTTCTTTTTGGAATATTAGATATATGGATTATGCAGTGATTACATGACAATTTTTAATTCTCTCTTTTATTGGTTAAATTACGAGAGAAGTTACGTATAGAAATAGGAGAGGGAGTTGAAGATTCGTAATTTTTCTCAGTTGATTAATTTTATGGCAGTCTTACCTGCAATAAGGAACAATAACAACCCTGGTAGAGGAGCATTTGGGCGAGGTCGTTGGGGGAATAATGATAGAGGATCAGGCCTCCTTCCACGGCCTGGACCATTCCCTCAAAGGCATGGCTTCGGTGGCTATGGATCAAAGTTTTCTAATGGACGTCATGATGAACGTTTTGTCTCAGACATGAAGCTTACCAAAAGTGAAGAAACACTGGCGAGAAAGTGCATTGCTTTTCAGGAGGTATGGATATTGTTTCCTCCCTGCTCTTCATACACACAAATTGACGCCATAGACATTCAGAGTAATTTTCTCAAATTGGTTGCTTAATTGGCTTGCGTTTGTACGGTATGGTCCTTATTGGGTGATGTTGGAAAGGCAGTTTTAGAATTGTTTTGGCATTTTTATTATATTATGGTTCACAATGCCATTTGCATTCTATTATGCCTCAAGAGAAGGTGAGCTGTTATCAACGCTCTCGTTCTTTCACAAAGTTTGTTTTGTTTCATTCTTGACCTCTTGTTGATAATTTTTTTTTGATAGCCTTGTGAACTTGCTTGCTATAGTCGTATAGAAGGAGGAGATGTCTACTTTGATGACCGCAGCTTGGTAAGCTGTTTAGAGTTGTTTTCTTCATATCATTTTTCGTGGATGTTTTTGTGTTGTCTATAAATATGTGATCAGGTGATAAAGTTCTCCTTTCCCTCATTTTGCTTGTTAATATGCCACTACTAGAGACTGTTTAAGCGCTTTATTACTGAAGATATTGGAGCTGATTTGAATGAAGGTTTTGACACTTTTATCGAGAAGAAAGGTATGCAAGTTTCCAAAATATTTTGTTTGATTTTTTTCATTAAATTTGTGTCTAAGCTGGTATAGATATCGGATTGAATCAGATAAAATACTCGTTGAAAGAACTAATATATACTTCTAACTTTTGTATCACTTTCTCTTGCTTTTATTCAGACTTAGGTTCTCAGGGTTTTGGTGACCTCCTTTCCTGCATAAGGGACAAAAACATCCCTCTTCAAAATATTCATTTTGTGGTGAGCCACTTGTTAGCTTCTGGATTTTAACTTTAATGCCAGTCTATCAGTCCATTACTAATGAATTTGCCCTCTTGTGTTTCCAGACTTTCCGTAACAATCTTAACAAGGTACTTGTGATGATGCTTTTGCTTTGTCCTATTATTTGTTTTACGGTTCACTACTCCTTTTGTGCTTCTAATAGAATATCTAGATGGTGTCATGGTTTATTTTTGGCTTTATTTATCAATGCTTATATCCATACGGAGTTTTATTTTGGGATCTAGGTATGGAATTTTGATTTTTTTTTTTTGGAATCTATTTTATGTTTGACTTCTTATAGAATAGCGGAAGGGAGTCGTGATTCTTTTTGGTTTTAATAATGCTTATATTCTTTTTGGTTTTAATAATGCTTATATTCTCCTGACCCTAAGGGCAGTAGCATGTGTGAATACATGTTTTGTATCGTGCGGATTGTTTTTTAGATAATATATCTATATTCTGACTGGTATAGAATGCTCCAGTATCGTTATCATGTTAAAATTGCTGCTTTTAATGCAGATATTGGCTACTGCTTATATTCGTCATGAGCCTTGGGAAATGGGTGTCCATAAAAGAAACGGTGTCGTCTACCTAGATGTGCATAAATTACCAGAAAGACCCCAAAGTGAATTGGAGCGTCGAAGGTACTAGAATTTTAATGGGCTTTTAGCAAATGCATTAGAAGAAGATTTCACAGAACTAATATGAGAAGATGTTGGTATGATCTCGCTTGGGCTGATAACCATGAGTATTTTATCTTATTGCTGGGAGGGTTCTCAGTTTTCAACGATTATCATACATAAGAATGAAAGCATTAGTGGGATGTTAGGGCAGAAGCTACACAGTGAATTTAGATAGTTGAAAATGCAGTGCAAGCCAACTCTCTCTTTAGACACTTGTGACATTAGTAGTTGTATATGAATTGTGGATACGAACTGACAGGTGCGGTAGATAGGAAGTACGTATAGTTCTTTTCTTGTACTCTTTTTTTTTGTTGGGGGGGGGGGGTGTTGGACAATACATATTCATGGTGCCTTTTTTGTTTTTGTTTTTTCTATTTGCTAATTTCTATGATAAATTGGCAATATTATGCTATTAAAATTTTTTATTTATTTTTATCAAAATTTGTTGTTGTGCCTTGGTAACTTACTCGTCTTATAGGTGCTATTGGGGTTACTGTTTTGAGAACCTTGCTACTGAGGACCCAAGAAGAGGTGATGGAGAAGGGATACATCATGTAGATGCAAATGCTGAGTACTGTGCTGTTATTAAAACAAAACTAGGCGCTCATCGCATCCTGATGGGTGCTGAGATGGATTGCTGTGATTCAACTGATGAGGGAAGGAGGTTTTATGTTGAATTAAAGACAAGTCGCGAGGTTGACATTAATAAAAAAATTATTATACTACTTTAGATATTTATTTCATGATCTAGCTTTTGGATGTCTTGAACTTACTCTGCTCTCATAACCTGTAACTTTTCCTTGTTACTTGCAGTTGGATCAGCGTACTGAAGAAAGATATGAGAGAGAGAAATTACTTAAGTTTTGGGTATATTTTTCTCTTCGTGCTTGATGAGTCAATTATTGTCTACTTTTGTTATTGATGTTGTATGCTATGTAGCATAAGAAGTATAGATAACAAGCACACATATCAAGTATAAGGTAAGTATCTGGATACACTTGGACTATCTGAGCTAGTCGTGACTAAAAACATGCAAATTTAAGATCCTCATATCATAGATAAAGAAGATGATGGCACTTTTAATACTTTGGAATAAGAATTAAATCATCCACGTTACCTAGTTGAGCTATGGGCCAAGAAGTCAACAAAATCTTTCAAGGAGCTGGAAATTGTGACAAGGGACATGACGGGCGGGCAATTTTTGCGTTTTTGTCCCATCGGACCAATACCCTCGACAGACTGATTTTTACTGATTTGTACATGGCTTCAATTCTTTGTTAATGACTGCATAGATATTAAAGTTGGGTGGAGTGTTGTCTAATTTAGTCTATCATTGAAAGTTCCAGTAGCTGCGTACTTGAGGCTTTTTTTTCTGCTCTCAATAATATTTTTCTCTGCAACGAAGGTGATTGATTGATAATTTTTCTGTAGTAGAGATTTCATTTCTCGCATGAGCGACAGCCTATTATTACATGGAGCATCTTATACAATTTTTATGAGGAGGTTTTCTGAGGAAATTTATTTTAAGCACGAAACCGCTTATTTCTATGGATGGAAGTTTAATTTGTATAAAGTTTCTTATAGGGGTCTTTTCTGTTTTAGGTCCTTTGTTATTTTTCTATTTTTTCTCTACCGTGTGATGTGTTAATATTAATTAACCGATTCCTTTATTATCCCCTTCTTTTGCTGTTACTTGTTAGTTTTGGAATTAATCTAGTTTCCTATTCTTCGTTGTTTTTAGTTTAAATTGTGCTCTCCTTTGTTTTTTTTCTTTTTTTTTTAAGTGAGGGCGAAGAAAAGTTCCTCTGTTCCCGTGAATTTCTGTACTTTTGTCTTTGGATTCATCCTGTTGCTTGTCTTTTACCTTAATAAGTGACTATTTTTACCTTTTGTTCCATTATAAATACTTCTTTTTTACCTTAATAAGTGATTAATGTCTTTTGTTCCATTCTAAGTTCAGGCATTAACTTGGTTGGGTTTTTGGTTGCAGATACAATCATTCTTAGCTGGCGTACCATATATTGTTATTGGGTTCAGGTAATTTATTTATCTAGCTGGCCTCTTTTATTTGGTGGATGGAAGCTGTTTGTTAATGGAATGAAAAGTCTCCAGGGTGAGTAAAGAATCTTTTCTCTTTGAGGTATCGGCCAATAGACGTTTGATGGAATTCCTTGCCTCATATTTAGTTTTTCCATTCCTTTCCTTCTCCTCATGCTAAACAAAGTGAATAAAGTGCCATAGTAAGGGAGGTCGAAAATGGAATTTTCTAGTATTGGTCTTAGCTTGGTGATTGATATGCCACCGACTCCTACCACTTTTTTACCTTCTTGAGACTGTACCCCATTCCCTGAACCATAATATGGCCACATACACAGCCTTAAAATTTCCATGTCCAAGACCTTTATACGCCATGGTAGAGAAGTCATCTTCTTCTAATTAACTAGGCGACTGCCCTGTCCTGAATTTGTTTCCTAACTGACATCTCTGATTCTCTAAAACTGTGTGCTGTTTAAATCTCGCTCACTCTTTCACACAAAATACATCAGCATCCCACTGTTTTTCGTTTTTACGAAGTGGTATTATCACCTTGTTGATGTATGAAGTTTCTTGAAGGTCTTAGGATATCGTAAATTTCGTTTTAGTTTTTATTCACTTCATCTTCTTTTTATGCAGGAATGATGCTGGCCAGCTTGTTCGCACGGAAAGATTGAGAACTAAAGACATAACACAGAGAGTGAAAATGAAAAACTATTGGCAGGTATTTAAATTTTGTGAGGTGGATCTTCTGCTCTAAATTTAATTGGATAAGGAAGCCTTAGACTGGGCCAAGAAAGTTACAAGGAAACCTTCCATTTAGCACAAACAAGGAGATAATCATGGTTTCGAAAAGGTTTTGATAATTTTCTCTAAGACAAAGCCATAAAAACAATACGTGCCCAAAAAATAGAAAACAGTTTCCCTTCTCCCTTTGAAATTTGGTCGTTTCTCTAACCAAAAAATTGGAAGGGGGCAACTGAAGCAAATTTGAAGATGGAAGGATAGTATGCCAATTGAAAGAGCTAAAGAGGGAATGCTAGAACTGAGAAGCTATCCTGTAGGAAAGATCTTTACCAGTTTTGCACAATGTGCTCCAATATGCAGAATGGAAAATCCTAAGATTATGTCTGAGCTTTATCGTGAGGGTTAATGCTATTCAATAACAGCTTTGGATGAAGTTATTTTCTTTTAGATAATAGTCCTTCCACCAGATCCAGTTGCTAAGTTGGTAATCACTAATCAAGGACTTGATAAGAGCTCAAAAGAATGAATAGCCAATCAAAAGGTACAATGGTTGACTGTAAAAGCAGATGATGATGTAACTGCTCTCTCTTTCAAGGTTATGCATACAGATGATGAGATGAATGGTAGGAGATTAAGAAAAGTTATACACAGGAAGCGTTCTTAATTCCTCACCTACGCTGTGAATGAAGAGCAGTCTCTTTGAAGAAGATACAGGTCCAACCAAATTTCAATGGTCAATATGTTATCAAATCATGAGCAAGCCGAAAAAGTTTAAGTGCAAACCTTAGCCAAGCTTTAGTTGACTTATGAATTATAAACTTATATAAAAAAAAATTCATATTGATACTTATTGGTCCCACATCAACGCATAATTTCTTTGAGTTTTATGAATTATTTAACTCCAAGGACCTATTCTGGAATCTTGTTTCATACTGTTTCCTTCTAACTCAAAAGTGATATACAGTATCATTATTCTTTTGTGAATCAAGCTACAAGATTTGTATTCGTTAACAGAAGTTTGGTTTGACTCGCTTCTCGTTCTTGTATCTTATAATGTTGATTTGTAGGGAGGTGTCTGTCTTGCCTTTGCTGATGAAGTGTTATGCTGGCTTTATGGAACAGTCAAAGAAAGTAAGTTTGTACCATACACTTCACATTGCTCCACTGAAAAGATTTGTTTAATTGGTTACAACTCATTGTCATGGATCAACAAACTAATTGAATTTCCAAAGATTTGTCTACTCGCTGCACAGGTCATGGAACAAAGAACTAATTTCTCATTCTTTGTCCAATGTTTACTTCAGATGAAGATTACATATTGCAGTTTGCGCATCCTTTCACCCGTTTAGAGCTTCTTCAAGCCTCCTCATGCCCAGATGCTATCACTCATCACATCGAGCTGTTATAGTCATATGAAGAAATTCTCGCATTCCCTGTAAATCTGAAAGTGCAGATTAGAGGTTAAGTTAGCAATCATCTTTCATCTCAAACTCTGATTACACCATCTTACTCAAAGGACCATTTTCTTGCCCGATGGCTGCCTTACGCTTATTATATGCTTAGCCACCTAAAGTAAAGTTGAAGACACCTCAGCTCCCAAGGAAAAAATGCAAAATATTGTATTACCTAACACCCCATAGGAGAGAGAGAAACACCCCATAGGAGAGAGAGAAGAAAAGAGAAAGAACGGAGCTTTATTTTTGCATAGGTATCATAATTATTTTGGGTAGTTTGATTAGGTGTTATCATGAGACATGAAACTCCAGCCCATTCCCTTGTCTTGTCTTTTGAAGATTGGAGTTGAATGCCTGTCATTCAAACCCAAAAGTTGGTTAGTATTTTTTTTTTTTTTCATTCTTTAGGTTATGATTATGAACATCAAATATCTGAGCTTTTAATTGCAATCCCAAACAACAAAAGTCTCCATCACTGCTTTCTATCTATGTAAAACTTACAGGTTATCACTCTCTGCTTCTCTCTGTAGAGTAAATTTGATATGCAGGATCTGTTCGTCCGTTGATTCACATTGCTGTCAATCCCTTGCCCCGCCTCACCCCGAGCAGCCCTGCTCTGCAAACAATCTCTTTTGTACTTGTTTTTTGGTGGTTCACTTTTGTAATTGGTTAATCTGCTGAAAGGATCAGAAACGCTGACATATTTACCTTACATGAAATCTTTGAATAGTTGTTCCCTCCCTCTGGTTTAAATTTCTGCATTTCCAAATGAAAATTTTACATTGGAATTTCATTAGTTTTTTTTGGAAGTTGCTGGAACAAGGTTCTCATCCTTTTTCTTGATTGAGTGATGTCGAGTAGTGCACTTGGAACGTTTGGAGAAGTTTTTAAAAGGTTCAGTTTTAAGCCTTCGAGTGAAAGACTACAAATGAAAATTCGTGACGTCTTTAGAGTTGTGTTGGGTGGAATCCGATACCATAAATATCAGAACCAGTACCAAAAAAAGTAGTGTTAAAAGTTTGTTGGATGTTTCTTTTCTCGACTTGAATCATTACAACTTTATTATAATTATTTTTTAATACAATAAATGTGAAGATTGTAAATTGAACTTAATAATTCCGAGAATGAACAAAATGTTGAATTTATACGAATTTTGTAAATTTCTCCTTCAATTATTAATACTTCTAATTATTTCTTGCACTGTCACTTTTTAATATTTGTTATAAATTTGGTAGATTGTTTATGTGACATTTCCAGCTTGGCACGTGAAACATGTTACATCTATTTCTCTTGAGCTTTTTCTATCCTTTTTCTTGTGAGTAAATTTAAACTAAAAAGATAAATTGGCAAGAATCTCGTTTTATTTTATCTTTGTTTTTTGTTTTTCTGAAATCCAATAAGAAAATTGTCTTAATAGATGTGAAGGAAAAAAAATAACATCTCTATAATTCCAACTGCCAATAGATTTTTGACACGCCATTTTAGACCATAAACTATAATTAATTCTTGAAAACATTCCACAAATGTATTATTTATTTAATTATAATAATAACCGTGCCAGAAAAATAATAATAATAATATGCATGGTCTTAGATCGCAATGGATAGAATATTGGTTAAAATACTATTTTGATATTTGTACTTTCAATTTTGTTTCGATTTTCTATTTTAAAATATTTATTTTTTGTCTCTATATCTTCAACGTTGATTCATTTTAGTTTATATACTTTTAAAATATTTATTTTGATCCAGGTATTTAAAAAAAAAGATTATTTTAGTTATTGTTTACAAAATTTTAACACAAATTCTATACATAACGGAAATTCTTTAATATAAAATCATGATTACATTTCAAAAAATATATTAAAAAGTATAATTAAAAATAAAATAAGAGATCGAAATGGCGACCCTAAATACAATATGACCCTTTTAAAAATATAGGCCTAAAATGAACCCACATTATAATAATCAAAATAAATATTTTAAAGTTATTGAACAACCGATATAAATGAAAACTAAAAATACATAGATGTTTAATAGGAAAGCATTATAATTAATTATTAATATTAATTAAGAACTGAAAAAAAAAAAGGTACATATATAAAGAAAAGGAGGCGAGTTGTCGCTGCCGATTTATCGTGAACCGTATAGGAAAGCGTTGTATAGATTTAATCGTCGCCCTTCGGCGTTCTGTGTCATTCTTCTTCGTAAGCTAAGCTTTTCGAATCCCAGACGATATCTAATCTAATCTAATCTACACATAATGCCTCTGCTCTCTCACTCCTTCTCTCTCACAGATTCCATTTAGCAATCCTTCTGCTTCTTCCGTCTTCTTCTTCTTCTTCTCGATTTCCCCTTTCCGGGCATGTTTTTCCCACGGATTTAGCCCCATCTCCGACTGTTTTTCCGGCCATCTATCGCCGACGATGCACCGGGACCGAGCTGCCGGTGGCGCTTCCAAGCTGGACGTCACTCCCATCGATCGGAAGCGTATCAACGAGGCTCTCGATAAGCAGCTCGAGCGATCCTCGCCCTCCACTTCTCGCACCGTGATTAACGGCAAGGATAAGCCCGCCGCCGCCGCCCAGTCGGTCTTGATGGGGAAGCCGCCCTCTGATCAGAGAGACTCTCGCTCTGCGTCCCTCTCCAAGACCAACTGCTCTGGTGGTTCCTCTTTCCTCTTTTTTCTCTTTTTCTATTGGTTTCTTCGTTTTCTGGAGAAACTTTTTATACGTCGATTTTTCTTCTTAACTTGTTATTAGTTTCAGCTGTTTTTGCTCAGATTTGAATTTGGGGGTTTTTAGCTTCGTATACAAGTCGCGGGTATCTCGAATTTGACCTTGCTTTCCTCTCCTTCTTCTTCTTCTTCGTCTCATAATTTTTTCTCTCGTGTTGTTTTGGGAATTCAGGGATCCGATAGTACATAGAGTTCGATTTTGTGGTATATTGCGTCAACTGGTACCAATAATTTTAGGCCTTGTGCCAATGGAAGGAAGATTTTGAAGACTACCTTTAGCAATAGCGTACACTTCCCATGACGGCGGCAGTTATTCATTTTATTCTTTTAATAAGAAACCACTGCACAAAGAAGACAACGGCGAGGGGTGGAGAGAATGCCTCCCCAAGAAGAACAATTATAAAAAGGCCATCCAGTTTCTAATAATCATGGGGAAGCCGTAATTACAAAAGACTTTGTATCTAGCACTCCACCCAGAAGCTAAGTACCGAATACTATCCACAAAAGAATCCTTTCTGAACTATAACTGTCCTCAAAACCTCTTTGATTTCTTTCCTTCCATGTAGTCCGTAACACCGCCTTCACGGCACAACGCCACAAAACCTTGGCTTTTCCTTTGAACCTTAAGCCCGCTAAAGATTCCAATATCCACCCATCACCCTTCTTAGGGAGGCAGGTAGGAATGCCAAACTCCTTAAAAATAAAAAGTCCAAGGCTTAAAAGTAAAGGGACAATGAAGAAGCAACTGATCAATTGAATCCTCCCCCTTTTACGAAGAAAGCAGACTGCAGGAGACAAAATCCAATGGGAGAATCTTCTCTGAAGCCTCTGTGAAGTGTTGATGCCTCTGTACAGAGAAGAACAAATGAAGAATTTCACTCTCTTGGGAACAAGGGTCTTCCAAATGAGGCTCTGCCACTGTCTTTGTGTCGGAACATCAGGTTTAGTAAGGGATAGGAATGCTGACTTCGTAGAGAGATGGAGCCTCCCCTTTCAAGGGACCAGATGATCGTATCCTCCCCTTCCCCCAGACGCAGTCTTTCCAAAATATCAGTCAAGTCAATCCAGCTCGCCATCTCTCTATCAAAAATACCTCTTCTAATGCCCAAGTCCCAAGTTAAATGAACAGTCGACCAACAATATGCAATGTTGGCATTCTTTTTCAAAGAGATGGAATCCAAGTTACGGAATCTAGAAGCCAAGGGTATAGGTCCAGCCCAATAATCTCCCCATAAGCGAATTTTTCTTCCGTTCGAACCACAAGCTTCACAAAGGAAGAGAAGAAACCCATCTTTTTGCTTATGTCAACCCAGGGCTTTCCACAAGGAATCCTTTTCTTGAGTAAATCTCCACAACCACTTCATTAGGAGAGAAGAGCTCCTATGTTTTAAGGAGCCTACCCCTAGGCCACCATAATCTACAGGCAAAGAAGTCTTTTTCTAGCTAATTAAATGACTACCTGCTTTGTAGCTTCTCCCACACCATATAAAGTCTCACAATTTTCTCCAGGAGCAAAATAATTTTAATGGGGGCTTCGAGCAAAGAGAAATTGTAAATAATAGGGGGCTTCCATCAAAGAGAAATAGTAAAGAGGGAGGCTGTTAAGGACAACTTGCACCAAGGTGAGTCTCCCCCTTTTGACAAAGAAAGGTCATGCCATTTCTCTAGCTTAGCCCTCATCTTGTCCACCAGTGGCTCCCAAAAAGAACCAGACTTTTGGTTTCCTCTAGGCTCCAAAGGGAAACCCAAATAGGAGATAGGAAGGTTCTCGGCTTTGCTTCGCTATTAGCTGTGGACTCTATCACCCTACGCTGATGTTTATTCCAATTAAAGAGGTCTTATCCAAGTTTAGGGACAGCCCGAGCCACACAAAAATACCTTAAGGACAAACTACCAGTTCCCGGACATTTTATCTTACCCGGGCAGAAAATAAGGGTGTCATTAGCAAATCGTAGGTGCGTAACTTCCACCTCTCCTCCCTCGAGTCTAAAACCTTTGAGGATGCACCTTTTGTTGCAAGAGTGAATAGTGTGACTCAAAGAGTCCCTATAATGGTAAAAAAGAAAGGGGAAAGGGGGGATTCCCTTGTCTGAGGCTCCCTTTGGCCAAAATCCTAGCTCTAGGGCACCCATTAATGAAGTTTGAAAAGTTAGTCACTAAGACACAACCCCTTATCCACTTCTTCCATCTTTGCCCAAAACCTTTTAACTCTAAGAACGACTTCCAAGAAAGACCAGTCTACCTTTTGTAAGCCTTCTCCAGGTTTAGCTTTGCTTCAGTAAAAGGACCTTTTTTCTTCCTTAACTTATGGTCCCCCATTGCTTTAGTCGCTGCTAAGATGGCATCTAAGATTTGACGACCCTCTACAAAGGCTGCCTGTGCGTTATCAATAATGAGAGGGAGAACTTTCTTCAAGCGCTTTACCAGCACTTAGC